AGGCTGCAGATTGCATGGTGCACCAGTCGCTAGGACTAATTGTTTCCATGAATTTTTGGTTTTCTTCATTCTTCTTTGCTCTGGACGAGGAAAGACCCATCGTTGCATCTAGATGGCAGCTTGCTTGCAAGCTTTTAAGATCTGTCACTACTCGCCAAAGCAGGATGTGGAATAATGTTTTTGTGTAATATGTGATGCCAATTGAACTTGGTATTTAAGGACTGTTTTTATGTTTTGTGAATTGTCTTTTGAGCATTTTTCTATAGTTTTATTTTTTTTCAAGTTTTAAAAATTCTTCATAAATGAAGAGCCAAAACACCAAAACCAAACTCACTGCCATCGAATCAGATCTGACTCACTGTGACCCCTCCTTGGGTGTCCAAGGCTGTATCTCTACAGAAGTAGATTGCCCATTCTTCCTTCCAAGGGGTGGCTGATGGGTTCGAACCACCAGCCTTCTGGTTAGCAGTCAAATGCTTTAGTCACTATGCCACCAGAGCTCTCACCCTTTATCTATGTGGACATATTTCTCCCTAGGGATTTGTGTTCTGTTATGGTGCTTTTTGCCATGCAAAAAGTTTCATTTTCATGCAGACAAATTTATTGTATTTCTTGGTCCATTTCCGTTTTTTTTTTTTTTTTTTTCTGAAGTGACTTTTCACTTTCATATATATAACCACATACGTACATATATTTTTAATATGTACATACACACGTGTATATATTCTTCATGAGTGTATACACATTTTCTTAACGATATATTTTCTTCAGCCTTGTGGCTTTTTTTGGGGTACATTTCAATAGCAGAGAACCTTTAATTCACATTTCCTGGCTTTTTGCAAGTTGTGTATGGACGTGGGCCTCTTTATTCCAAATAATTTCAGGGCAGAAGTCCTAGTCTGAGTGCCCTCCATTGTTGGTTCTGCCTTCTTCGGTGCAGTTCAATTTTGTTGGTGTGTGTGGGAAAAGTTGGTGTGCCATTTCTCCTCTCCTGTAGGTTCGTAATTCTCCCCCTTTTTCCTTTCAGCAACTTTTCTTCATGAATCTCCCTCTGAAACACTATTTCTCTAAGGCTGCCACTCCTGGTCCTACACATTTTCAAGCCCCTTCCCCGAAGCCAGAGTTACAATCTGCAAAGCCCCAAACTGTGTTCGGTATTCCGGCATTTACTGTTCCACATTCTCTTTCTGGAGATTCTGTGTGTGCTTCTTCCCGTAAGGCCCTTACTCCAGGCTTTTCGGTCATCAAGTGTTTTAACCTCCCTGTCTTCACTCTCTGCACCCACAGGCTTGTGGTGGTAGCAGGATCCTTGGTGGAAAGTTCTTCCTCTATTTACAGATAGTCTGAAGTTACGGTGGTCACCTAGCAGTGAAGCTATGAGGTCTATGTAGTTTTGATCTGTTCTTGATATTATGGTTGTTTTGATGAGGGGAAGGTTTGGCATCAGGCTATTGCTATTGTTCTCTAGTCAACAGTCTCAACATGCTTTTCTTAATAGAAATATTTCAGCCCCTAGTCATGATGAAGACCACTGAAAACTAGAACAGAAGGGGGTATATTAATTGATTTTGAGTATCAATGGCTATAAATGGTAGTTGACGTGGAAGTCGAGTGTTGAGAAAGGCAACAAGACTAGCAATGGGAACATACTGCATTGTCTGTAGCTTTAGTTTTCATCGAGTTGAAAGCACACGTCAAACTTGCAAAAATTAAGATGCACCTTCTGTGAGATTGGGAATAATACAATAAATGCTGCACTGCTACTGTTCAACATATTAGAGACCCTGGCCAAGACAGTAAGAAATGAAGTACAAAGATTAGAAAGAAATGAACATCATTTGCAGATACTGTTGTTGTTGTTGTTATGTGCCGTCAAGTCAGCCCTGACTCATAGCGACCCCTCCTTGGTTTCCAAGGCAGTATCACTACGGAAGTAGGATTGCCCAACCTTCCTTCCGAGGAGTGGCTGGTGGGTTTGAACCGCCAGCCGTCTGGTTAGCAGGCAAGTGTCTTAGCCACTATGCATACTATAATCTTGAAATAGCTACAAATTCTTAAATAAGAAAAATCACTAAGGTTGTAGAATACAAGATTAATTCACAAAGAGCAGTGACTCCTCTGCAGCTAGCTGTGTGGCAGATGTTTCTGGCTGTTCAACAACCATTCCTCATCTTCCTTGCTAACAAAATCCCAACTCCTTTGTGCCAACCCCAGAAGATTAGTTATGATTAATCCAAACCAGTCATTGCAAATCCATTCTCCTTTACCAGATTCTAATTTTACCAGCATCCCTTACAGCTAGGAATGATTATATAACCCAGTCCTGCCCAATAACCTGTAAGCAAATGTATGCTGGAGCATCCCTGGGAAAGATGTTCCTCTTTTTTTTTTTTTTTTTACAAATGCCTTGGCTTCTCCAGGCCTTACACTTCTTTGGCTTGGAGCTTATATATGCTTTATAAAACTGTAAAGATGAATGGGATTATGTGCTTATCAAATCATTCTGCGAATGCTAATGACATAATAGATTTAAGATATGCAAATAATTACAGATGTAGATGAAGACTCAATTGGTCTAAGTGCTACAAACTGACAGTAAGTTTAAGGAATGCCATTATATACAAGGATATCTCTTTACCCAGTCAAGTATTTTCATTATTAAGAAACTAAGAACTACTGTTTAATTTTGCTTCTTGTGTAGCATCTTGTCCTGTGATGCACTAAATGACAATGCATTCTTTGGATGATTTGCAGGTCATCATGCCAACACTGCTTTTAGGTCAGAGCCCACAAAATCTTTCCTCTAAAGACATACATTTAGGCTTTGCAGGCTAGTCTCTGTCACAACTACTCAACTTTGCCACTGTGGCTGGAAGGTGATCATGGACACCATGTAGACAAACAGGCATGGCTGTGTTCCAATAAAACTTTGCTTACAAAGCAGACCATGGGCCGAGTTGACCTGCAGGCTATAATTTGTCAGTACCTGTTCTAGGTCTCTTCTGTGCACTTGTCTGACAGGAATCGTGTCCTGGGATCAGTCCGATCAGCTTTCCAGCACATCACCTCCACCTAATTAGTACCACTGTGTATTTGTATATTGCTTTACTTTCACAAAGCACTTCTATGACAATGTAACACACTCATGCTCACAAAAAGCTGTGTGAGGTAAGAAGGGTAGATCTTATCTTCCTTGTATGGATAAGAAAAATATTTAGTAAATTGTGCATCATAATAGCTGTGAGGGGCAAATACATTAGAAACCGTAATTCTATTCTTTTGTTTTTAGTTTCCACTGTTACTCTATTTCTTTTCTTATTCAAACTCCTGGGAAGCATTCTGCATTTTCAAGGCTTTGAATTCTTCTCCTCTAATTCAACTGGACCACACATAACAACAATAGTGTTTAGCCCTAAATTGAAACTTCTATGTTGATGGTATCGAGTTAAAAAAGGATGCTTGTGATCAGAGGAACTGCAAAGAAAAAAATGCAAGAGCAGAAAGAATACCGATAAATTAAAAAATTTCTACTTTAAAGCAAATTCTTGCCACTCAAAGGAGGAAAAACACACTTCCAATTTTAGTGTGGGAAAAAAAGTAGAGAAGCAAGATACAGATTAAAGCCTCATCAAAGGATCATACATACAGATTTAAATAAATCTATGGTTAATAATAAAGTTTCCTCTGTGAAACCAGGACTTCTGCATGACATGGGACGTCTAGTAGACTACTTCAAAATGTTGGAAGGGCCACAAAGAGTTAACATGAGACATAATTTGAAACTTCCAGAGGAAGTCCAAGCTGAATAAAAGAGTGAACATCACTAATGCCTAAAGTGTCCAGCTCCATCATTTATGAGCTGAGCTTCAGTTTTCTCTCTTGTAAAACAGGGTCACACCTACCTTGGAGGGTTGTTTTAAGGACTGAAAATACTGTCCCCAAAGCAATTAATAGTACACATAGCAAGCTCTTGTTAGTAATTCTTTAACAAAGTATACAGTTATAAAGAAAAATAAGCCTATACCGAACCTTCATGAGTCATTCACTAGCAATTAAATAAGCCGAGGACTAGTTCCATGTCTAGCTTTTATCTATCCCTGCCTGGCAGTAAATGTCAGGTCCTAGGCAGGGTTTGAGAGTCCCTGTGTGGCACAAACAGTTAAGTGCTTGACTACTAGCCAAACGGTCGGTGGTTTGAACACACTCAGAGGCTCCTGGGAGGACAGGCCTGGCAATCTGCTTCCAAAAGGCCACGGCCTTGAAAACTACAGAGCAGCTCTACTCTGCACACAGGATTGCCGCCAGTCAGGATGGACTCAGTGGCAATTAACAACAGATAAGGTTAAGAAGTCTTGATCTGCCCAGCCACTTCATGTGTTTCTGTCGCTAACCTTTTTTCAAGTCTGAACAAAATCTTTCAGCTCTACACACTGTCTGCAAGATAGAAAAAAGTAAAAGAATTTCAAACTAAAAGAAAAGTTAATTTCTATATTCTTTCAGATCTTGATTTTTTAAAATAGATTCTAATTGTAAGAAAAAGCTTTGTGTCCCTTTTAAAGAAATTTCAGAAATTACATGATTAAAAAAAATAAATAAATAAAGCAGTTGACTTGCAAAGTCACAGCTGCTGGTAAAGGGCTTCTGTAGTTTGAAATGAATGTATTCTAGAAATTACCATTGCTTTTAGTCACAGTATTTATTTTGAAATTCCAAATAATCTAAAAGAGGGTGTGAATTTTAAAAAATATATATATCAGAAGAGGGTATAAGTTTAAAAAAAATAAAAATAAAATTAGAGAAACATTGCCCTAGATTTCCATGGAACATAAAACTACCATCTTTCATCTCTTTTGCTGTGCCTTACTATAAAAATACAGATGGCACAGGTCTTACATAGTTTTAACAACTTGTTTATAAATTGTTTTCAAAAGTAATTTATTTGGATTTTCCATATCCTTTAATGAATTGCAAATATATTAACAGAAAAGACTCCCCCTCCCCCCAAGACTGTACAATTTCTGAAATAAGTCAGGAAAAGCAAAAAGAAGACATAAAATTACATTGTTTCAATGCAAATAGAACACACACATCACACCCACACTTGCATCTTCCTAGGCTTTCACAAAGAAAAACAGTTGACCATATTTCTCAGTGAAGACCCTACTGTACTCTGGCTAATCAGAGACTTCCAAACTTTTTTCTTCAAAAAGAACATTTTTAATAGACTAAATACTGGTTATCACTGAGTTTTTGTTTAAGGTACAACAGCAGCATGGTTCAAATGTTACTTGCAGTTCATGGAAAAAATAAAAATTTTAAAGTAATGAAATACAGAAAAGTTAAGGGACCTCTCTTCATTATTTGAGTACCATAGTTTGCCTGAAAAAAATATTTCCAACCTTCTAAAATCTCAGAGTTAAGAACCATTTCCAAGCAGGGGAGGAATCCAACTCTAGAGCTTAACTTCTGAACAAAAGTGTGTGTGTATGTGTATGTGTGTGTGTGTGAAAAGCTTAAACAGAAAAGAAGATGTCAAAGTACTCAGTATTTTTAATTTCCCTCCAAGTAACTTCTGAAATTTGAAGCAAATATTTTGCTTGATCATAATTGTTTCCTTGTCTGGTTGTTTGATCCCTATTTTATGCCAGACGAGTAAAACAAAGTAGCCAGAAACAGATAGTGGGTGAGAAACAAGGCTCCCTACACCTGAATGGCTTTGAAAATAGGTATGAGGGAAAAAAAACCTTAGGCCAAGATTGGGCTGGGAGTGTCCCTCAGGCAGCCATTGCCATGGTACGCCTTCTGCAACTATCCTTTAACCCTTGGTCTCAAAATCAGTACCAGAAAGATTCTCACCTCCGGCACAGGACAGAAATTCCTACCACAAAAAGATAACTAATTATACTTTAGTGAATTATGTTATGAGCTTAGCTTTCTCCAGGTTTGGAAACACAGAGCTCAGGATGAAGCTTTCTATGAAACTCTAGATACTGTAAGACAATTGGCTTATGATTTGCCAATTAAAAAAAATGAAAGACTCTAAAATTCAGTATTACAGAACTAATGGATAATAAAATGGAGTATTTGTTAGAACAAGCATTAGCCTTTGGGAATTTTTTAGTGATACTCATTTTGTCCCAACCTTTCCTTATAAGTGATTTTTTTTTTTTTAAAGATATAGCACATGTTCATAGATTTAGAAAGGAAATTTTGCTAAACACCTCTCTGGCACCCAGTATCTAATCTAGGACTTTGACTTGAATTCATTTTTAATGGTATCTAATCCAGGTTCAAAAATGAGCAAATTAACAGCAAATGACAGACATTTACTGAGTCTACAGGCTAAAAAATTTTTCACATCTTCCATAATCCACCTTATTTTCACAGTTTGACTAACAAGTACAGGTAACCAGTAGATAAGTTTTTCCTTCATCAAATAATACCTGTAGGCCTGTCATTCATTAAGAAACTATAATTTGTTACACTCTGCAATTGGCACTTAATAAAATGTTAACAACTGAAGTTTCTCTAAAAATTTCAACAATTAAAATAAAGGAGATACATAATTTAAGACTGTTTAAATGTTGCTGTGAAATTCCAATAATTCTCAATTTATTATGCATAATTAGATCTTTAAAATTGTGGCCATTTCCCAAAGACACCAACCTATATTATGACTTAAACTCAGGAGAGAACTTAAGTTTGTCTCCTTCATAAGAATGTTTTTTTTATTTCCCTCAACTAAAAATTTCAAATATCCTAAACCACTCTTAGTAAACGTTCTGGTGACCCATACTCTGAAAATAATCAAAAGCAGAGAGCTGAAAAGAATGGATCCGACCTTAATCAAAGGTAACCGCACATTCTTGCACCCTGCGAACACTTAGAAAAGTCAAAGGGATACTGTCTTGAACAAATACAGGTTCAAGGTGCAATTATGATTGTATTAAGGCTTTCACTGTCATGATCTCCTATAGTCTCTCCACTTCAGTGTTCTCATACTGATTCCTATGGTGAACTTAAATGGTTATTAAGGGCTTTGTTTTGGTCTTTCAGTGGGCCCACTCTGTCATCTCTGAATGTTAAAAGCGATTTCACAGAGCTCAAAGAGAAGAGACAATATGGTAAGGATCAACTTTAAAGTTTTCAATACTAAGACAATGATCAACACTTTGGAGCAAGATGAATAAATTAAATTCTTGGTTAGACATTAAAGCACTCTTGCCAAGAATAAGTGTACACTGTATCAGAGGATATTTGATTCCTACACACGAGTCCCAATATGCTCATTACACTTATTTATAGGAGACACTGCAAGTTTAAGGTAATTTACATTCCTTGGCAATCAAGTTACTCTGTTATAGGCAATGTCTTTTATTGTTCCATCTGGCACTTGCTAACACCATTCTTGAAGAACCTAGAAATGAAGGTCAGTCACTCTGTTTATCAAGAACAGAACCAAATAAAAACAAATATTTGGAAAAAAGGCCAAGAAATTCTGGTTCGTCACTATTTTCCCTATCTAATGGTTCTTTCAAGATCAAACCTAACTCTTCCTTCCATGATAGCTTTCCAACAAAGGGAGATTAAAGAAAATAAGAAAAGCAAGTTCCCCACCCTACCCCCTTATATTGTCATTCATACTGGTGAAGAGCCAGTCTTGTTAGCAGCTAACTATTGCACTGCCTTTCATTCTGTGCACAGTCAGGGTCCAATGAAAGTGGCACACTCATAGCGTAAGTGATGAGGGATGACACTGCCGGCTCGAGTGAAGACTCAGTATATGGAGGGACAAGAAACATGTCAGTACTAGTCACACATCCAGTTGCAAAAGTTTGATTTCCGGAAGTTAAAATTCATCACTTTCAGCTGCATGAAGTTGTGTGTCATCCGCATCTGTCATGCTGCTCTCCTGGGATTCATCTGTTCCCACTTTAAAAACAAAACACAAGTTTCCTGTAAGGTACCTGACAAGGATTTCTTTTTCATTCATGAAAACATGCAAGGAAAACTGTATTATGTTCAGAGAGATGAGAGCGTAAATAAAGGCCCTTAAAAAGGCCCAAATTCTGTTTTTAATAAAATGTAATTTAAGTTCTTTATTTTACAGCATGTCTGAGGTTGTTTTATTATTGTATTTAACCTTGAAGGGTTTTAACTACCAAAATTGCTTCTTCCTAATACACTTATTTTTGTCCTAGGTGCTTGGGCACCAATTTTATAGGTTAATCAAAAAAACATTCTACACACACTTAAAATTAGTTCCCTAGGACAAAAAAGACTGATGTCTCATCTAGCCCTAATCACCGGCTCTACTTTGGGGATAGTTCTTACTAGTCCACAGAAATGAGGAATATGGCCTTTAGAAAAAGAGTTATTGGGGTTATAGGAATTATAATTTCAATTAGAAGACATACGCCAACTTTTCCAAAATAAAGGCATTTTAGTTTCTCTCCTAAAAAATGTCTCAATTTTTATTAAAAAAATATTGATACATTGAATCTTGGTGCTCCCTAGTTATTTTAAGACAAACATTCATAGTTTAGAGATTAGAGTATTTACTGCTTTAAATTGTAACTTTTTGTTCTCTTTTCTTTTCTTAACCCCTAAATTCTCATTTAAAGAGCTCTGGTGGCATAGTGGGTAAGGTATTCGGCTGCTAATTCCAAGGTCAGAGGTTCAAACCCACAAGCTCCTCCGTGGGAGGAAGATGAGGCAATCTACTTCCATAAAGATTTACAGACTTGGAAACCCAATGAGGATTGCTATGAGTCAGAATCGACTCGATGGCAGTGTTTTTTTTTTTTAAATTTACATAATTAGCCATGTATTTGGATTTTAGATTTGCTAGAGTTTTAAAGAATTTTAATAACTACTACATATCTATCCATTCACTTAACACTCATGTCTTCAGCATACCTTCATATCTATCATTTTTTTAAAAAAATTCTATTTCTATGAAGAGATAAGGAGGCAAATCAGCAATGGATTTGCCTAAGTCACATAGCAAACTAGTTCCTAAACTTAGACCAATTGTTTGACTCCATATGCACATTGTTCACCCTGTTCAATTTCCCTAAAATTCTATCTGGTGTAAAGAATACACCACATTTAGAAAAATAAAATAAAAAGAGCAGCACATTCTTAGGCAAAAGGTAGTTTTCTGTATACTCACAAAAATTTCTATGTTTTTACTGTCATAAAAAATATCTGTTCCGTATTACCTAATTCTGATGTGGTGCTGCACCAGATCTCTGCTTTGAGTAATCATACAGAAGTCTGATTCATATGGATGATACTCACTGATCTGTTCTTCTTGAGTTATTGGCTCCTCATCATCTGGAAGGTAGCGCTTATCAATTGCCTCTTTAATCTGGTTATTGGCTCCTTTAGGATCTAAATCCATAGCCCAAGAGAAATTCATCAGGGCGAGGTGCGTTTGACCTAACTTCTTGTAAACCTAAAAATAAACAGCAGCAACTACATTTTTCATTAAGTTGTGAGCTTCAGCTATAAAATCCTAACAATTATAATTTAAATTAGACTAATTAAATTTACCTGCTCTAAACCCATTCTAAATTTCCTTGGGTAGCGCAAATGGTTCGGTGCTTGGCTACTATCTGTGGCTATAACTGAAAGGTTGGTAGTTCAAATACACACAGAGGTACCTCAGAAGGCCTGGTGACCTACTTCTAAAAGATCACCGCCACTGAGAACCCTCTAGAGTGCAGCTCTTGAGAGTCCCTGGGTGGCACAGATGGTTAAGCACTCAACTGCTAATCAAAAAGTTGGTGGTTCCAACCCACCCAGAGGTGTTTCAGAAGACAGGCCCAGCCATCTGCTCCCAGGAGGCCACAGCCTTGAAGGTCCCATGGAGCACAGTTCTATCCCATGCACATGGGGCAGCCATGAATCAGAATTAACTCAAGGGTAACTGGCTTTATCTCGGGTGCTGAGCTTCCAACAAATCTGACACTAGAATAATGACAGTGGGTAGAAGTGCACTATAAGCTGCTTTATTAACATTCAGTTACACTGGTTTTAAATGCAGTTATATCAACTCTCAACACCTGTCCACTATGCCCAGCTTCCTTAACCAATTGGCATCTGGGGTCCCAGACTATAAAGTCCTAACTAATCTGGCCATGGAAATCATGTAAGTTTTTCTTCTAATCAAGGCAACACAGTGCCATTAATGTTCTTCTTCTTGGGGATTTATCTTTGTATTTTTTTTCTTCTTTTTAAAACTTTTATTGTGATTTAGGTGAAAGTTTACACAGCAAATTCATTTTCCATACAGCAGTTCATACACATTTTGTTTCATGACATTGATTGCAATTCCCCACAATGTAACAGCTCTCTTCCTACCTCCTCCCCATTTACCTCTTTCCTGTGTCTTTCTCACCCATGCACTCCCACCTTCTTGAGGATTTCTAAATAACTTATATAGAAATTGCAAACTAATGGCTTTCCATGAGACAGTTTCAGTTATGAACTCATTACTGGCCTTGGGCTGCCAGTGCTAATCTACTACCAATACCACAGCAGGTTAGGGTTTGGAGGCACGTGGTTTTGCGCCTTCATGAGAACATCATCATCTTAAATATTAAAACTACATCCATTTTCTTCCCAATACACTTAGTTCAGAGTTCTAGCTGAATTTGCTTGATAAATGTTATATAACAAGTATCATATTTATTCTTCAAAAGTTAGTATTTGCTATGAAAATCACAGTTTAGGAGCATGGCCCCAGTCTTTACCTTTCCTATTAAGAAGTAAACGAGGGATTCTTTGGGAACAATTTGTTTCAATTCTTCAAGTTCTTGTAAAGCAGACTGAAAAAAAAAATTCTCAGAATAGCATAATTTTACAAAGTTTTGAATAGGCAAGTGTTTTATTTGATTTCCCAAATCATCTTAACAAAAGGTTATTTATTAAATCTCAATCAATATACTTTATTTTTTACTATTTATTTAATTTAAAAATACACGTTACTGAAATATAATTTCAATATTCAATATATTTTCTTACTGCATTAATTTTTGTTATGAAAACAGAATGCATGAAAAATACAACAGAGACTAAGAAATGGCAGGCTTTCACCAGTAGTACAGTGAACAAACACCCCATACAATCAAATATGCAGGCAGTGACAGTCCTTGTGTTGTTGCCATTTATTTACAATATTAACAACTTATCACATTTTGTGTAAAAGTGCTTTGAAAATGAAGTTGCAGAACAAAACAAATCTGAAACTCTCTTTTCCCTATGCAACCACTAAGCCCTGAATATTAATATGCCATTTCAACTACTGATAAAGAGATTAAAATGGAACTTTCTGAACTGAGTTAAAGTTGTCTAGTCATCTTTTGACCATTCATTGCTAAAGGGTAGGCTGACTGAAAGTAAAGACAGGAGAAAGAATTAGGTTTGTAATTAGAGAGAGAGAGAGATCATCATTAAAAACAAAACTTTTGGCCACAAAAATGAGATATTGTCCCATTTTTTTCCCCTCACCTAGCAGATGGACAAAAATTAAATGTGATGTTGCATGAAGCTGGCATGAGTGAGGGGCAACAGGTATCCTCATCACTGAGGGTGGAAGCGTAAACTGAAGCAACCTGTTTGTGAGGACAATGAGCATTATCTATCAAGTTAGAAAGCACAGGTAACCACTCATTAGGCAATCCCACTGTCAGGAATTTGCCTCAGGGATATACTCAAAAAAGTTCACCAAGTAATCTTTCTAAGAACAGTCAATCCCACATTATTATTTGTTACTGCAAAACACTAGAAACAACCAAAGTGTCTAACTGCAGCCTCAATTATGGTCCATACTGTATGGAATACTAGGTAGTTGTTATAAAGAATTAAGTAAATCTATAAGTGAAAAAATGCAACAGCAAGATGTACAGTACTGTGGATAGTATTCCTTTTTGTGTCAAAAATCACATAGCACACATATTTTAGAAATACATTTTTATGTCAGTATATGCATACATCATTTTTTTTTTTCCTGGCAGAAATCAATACATATATACCCTCAAACTAGGTAAGAATAGTTTACCTTTGGGAAGGGGAAGGTTGGGGGAGGAGAGGAGAGGCTTCTAGTTTTCATTTAGTAGCTTTCTCTACTTTATGAATTTTCTAACATTATCAATATAATACTTTATTTCCCTTTAATATCCACAGAAGTCCTCTACTTTTTGTTTTCTTCTATATCTCTTTGTAGTAAACAAAATCTATTGTAGGGCAGGTTAAAAAAATATAAAAAAAGGTAAATACTGCTATGTATTAACTGGAAAGGGTTAAATGGAAAAAGCAAGTTGTAGAGCAGCATGTATAACGCACCTGTTTTCGATTGCTATAGTAA